GAGGGGGGAGAACCAGGACAGCCAAGTCTCCTGTGCACATTGCTGGATTGAGATTGGTCTCAGGTGAGTATAAGGAGGGGCTGGGGGGCCGCTGTAAATAGACGGTTTTTTTTTACCTTCATACATACAATGCTTGAAGATTAACAGCCTTAGGTTACTTTTACGTTGAGAAGTTTTTCAAGCGTTTTTGTGTTACAAAAAAGCGCCTGAAAAGCTCAAAAAAACTGCTTCCCTGTGTATGTGAATGTATATCTATGTATGTTTTCACACTGAGGCGTTGCGCTTGCGGTGTGGTGTAAAAACTTCTGAATTTGACAGGTATTCGCTCCCAATTCTGCTGCGATCACCTAGGCCAGTGGTCGGCAAGCCACGGCTCGCGAGCCACATGCGGCTCTTTACACACTTCAATGCGGCTCTTCTGTGTGCCGGGCGCCCGCTCCCCTCCCTCCTCTCGGGCGGCCGCCCCAAAAGTCAGGACTCTGCAGCTAGCCCAGCAATGGGCAAACTATGGCCCGGCGGACCTTTTAATCCGGCCCGCAGAGCGTGGCAAACATTGGCTGTCAGGATGTAGGCGGGGCAGCCAGGATGTAGGCGGGGCAGCGTGACGAACTCCTCTCCTCTCACAGTCCGCCCTGAAGACGGGAACGGCGCGGGAACACGGCGAGAGGAATGCGCGGAGCAAAGGTAAGTGAATTGACACAATATGGGGAATGAATTACTATAGGGGGGATGAATTACTATAGGGGGGATGAATTACTATGGGGGATGAATTACTATATGGGGGATTAATTACTATGGGGGATGAATTACTATATGGGGGATGAATTACTATGGGGGATGAATTACTATGGGGGATGAATTACTATATGGGGGATGAATTACTATGGGGGATGAATTACTATATGGGGGATGAATTACTATATGGGGGATGAATTACTATATGGGGGATTAATTACTATGGGGGATGAATTACTATGGGGGATGAATTACTATATGGGGGATGAATTACTATGGGGGATGAATTACTATAGGGGGGATGAATTACTATATGGGGGATGAATTACTATGGGGGATGAATTACTATATGGGGGATTAATTACTATGGGGGATGAATTACTATGGGGGATGAATTACTATGGGGGATGAATTACTATGGGGGATGAATTACTATATGGGGGATGAATTACTATATGGGGGATGTATTTTCAGTTTTAAAAATGTGGCTCTCAAAATAAATTTCAATCGTGGTTTTGGCGAGATTTGGCTCAGTTGAAAAAAAAGGTTGCCCACCACTGACCTAGGCAATCGGAAATGGAAGTTGTCCTCCTACCCTCCCTCCCCGAAGTCTTGTGGGACACGTGACAGGTCCCAGAAGACAACAGGGCCATTCAAGAAGCGCAGCACTACTCGCGCATGCGCAGTGGGCACCCAGCTGTGAAGCCGCAAGCTGTCACAGCCGGGTGCCCACACTAAAGATGAGGCCTCCTGGAATACAGGACAGCCGGTGAAACGGGCTGCGGCGGAGGCAACGTGGGATCGAGGGACAGGGGAGTGGCTGTTTTTTAAAAGTCAGCAGCTACAGTTTTTTGTAGCTGCTGACTTTTATTTTTTTACAGAGTGAGTGGAACTCCGCTTTAAACAAAACACCCCAAAAATGCCTCTTCCCATTGAAATCAATGGAAAATGCCTGAAAAACGCTTGTAGTTTTAAGTCACGTGTCCTTTAACCATTAGCCGCCCGGCCAATGGCCGTTTGGCGGCTTCAGATGTGTCTCTTCACTCCGGGTGCACGCCATTTGGCGTGCTCCCGCACATGCGCAGTTTGCGCTAATGCAGAGCGGCGCAGCAGTGCGATCTGTCACCGGCCGTGCACCTCGGACACGGCCGATGACAGATCCGTGTACTGGCTCCCGTTGCTGGTACCTTGTGACCTGCTGTGACCAATCACAGCAGGTCACATGACAGTTGTATACAATGGATGGCTTCATTCATGATGCCATCCATTGTATACTAGTGCCTAGCTGTGAATGGTCACAGCTAATCACATGCACATGTCATGTGATTAGCTGTGACCAAATCACAGCTAAGCACAGAAAAAAAAAAAAAAAAAAGCTGAATGAATCGATTTCATTCAGGTAAGTGCTTGCTTATAGCAAAGTAATTCTTTGCTATAAGCAAATTGTGTAAAAAAAAAAAAAAAAAATACTGATCACTTCCCCAAAGTAGTACAATGTTACTATGGTAACATTGTACTACTTTGGTCATAGTAAAATATAGAAAAAAAAATCTTAAAAAAAATAAAAAAAAAATGTAATAAAAAATTAAAACAAAATTTAAAAAAAAATATATATATATATATTTTTTTCATACTGTCACCAGTCAGTGTCCCTGTTAACTGCCATGCCAGTTATATGATGATGCTGTACTGCACTGGTGACAGTATGTAAAAAAAAAAATAGTGAAAATAATTTTTTTAATTTTTTAATTTTCCGAAAAATTATGACAAAAAAATACAACTTCAAAAAACTCGCCATGCCTCTTATGAAGTACGTCGGACTGTCTACTCTGCAAAAAGGGGTCATTTGTGGGATATCTGTACTGTTCTGACATTCTTGGACCTCAAGAATTATTGGCTGTCAGTACTTCAGGATTGATCAATATTCAGATCTATACCATAGTTTGTGAACTCTATAACTTTCCTACAAACTAAAAAATACATCCTAATTTGGGTTATTTTCACCAAAGACATGTAGCAGAATACATCTCGGCCTAAATTTATGAAGAACAATTGTTTATTTGTAAACTTTTATAACAGAAACAAAGAAAAATGTGGGTTTTTTTCAAAATTTTTGGTCTTTTTTTGTTAATTTAGCAAATTATAAAAACCCCAGCAGTGATTAAATACCACCAAAAGAAAGCTCTAGTTGTGTGAAGAAAATGATAAAATTTTAGTTTGGGTACAGTGTTGTATGACCGCGCAATTGTCATTCAAAGTGTGAGAGCACTGAAACCTGAAAAATGGCCTGGGCAGGAAGGTGTAAAATTGCACGGTATTGAAACGGTTAAAGATGTGGCAAAAATGCGGTAAAAACGCCTATGCATTTTTGAGGCATTTTTGCGGTGGATCAGTGTGAAAGTAGTCTTAAGCCTTTACAACCACTTTAACACCCTTAGGTTGGCCATACATTATACTATTTCTTGAGAAATGTGCTATAGATCTACCAAAAACCATATAATATGAGGTCAAACCTAAACAACACTTTCAATTGTATCCAATTAGGCAGGCCCTTGCACTACATAGTTGAAGATAAATCTAAAGAACATTGGGCAGAAATTGGACAGAAAATTGTATTGGGACAGAAAATGATACACTTTTCTTGAGAATTGTGCTTTAGATTTCCCAAAAACCATATAATATGAGGTTAAACATGAACACTTTCAATTGTATCCAATTAGATAGGCCCCTGCACTACATAGTTGAAGGTAAATCTAAAGGAAATTGGACAGAAAACTATAAGAAAATTGTATAGTGTATGGCCAGCCTTAGACTTCCATTCTTTTTTTAATTGAAAGATCTTTGTGGATATATAACAGGACATGATAGTGGAAACAGTTTGGACTTCTACCATGACAGCTGCACCCAATTTGTTTGCATTGGCAAAAATAAATCGTTTTCTGGTGACTGTATAGAAAATGAGTAATATGCAGTTAAAGAACATAGTATAGGAGTTTTTTTCTATATTTATTTTAATGGAGGCATTACTTCTAGTTTAAAGTGGAATTCCAATCATACCCTAACTAAACCTAAATCTACTACTACCCCGATTGTAAGATTATTCTGTATACCCTATAAAAGGAGAGATGCTTATACTTACCTATTCTGAAGCAGCTCCGGTGCGCTCACATGACCACATGATCACCAGCTTCAATGTAGAAGAGAGGCAGCAGCAACAGCGAGCAATGGAGTCACCCATAGGCTTACTATAGGACATCCTTTGTTGGCTGTCCCTCCTCTACACGGAAGGTGGCACTGGAAGCCAGTCATGTGACCAGACCAGAACAGCTTCAGAATAGGAAAATATAGACATCTTTCCTTTTGCAGAGTAGATAGAATAGCCTTTAACTTGGGGTGGGAATAGATTTCGGCTTAGGTAGGTTTGGACTGGAATGCCACTTTATTGCTTGCAGTTCTGGACAAAGTGTGGAAAAGTTTTTATGATGTCTGTGTGTAAAGGCTGGAAAGATTCACCCTCTAGAGCAGGGTCAGCAACCAGCAGATTGTGATATACCTGTAGATCTCAGCCAGGTGACTGGTAGATCACAGTCAGGGTTTGCTGAACCCCCATCCCAGAGCATCAGAGTGCAATGCAGAGAGACTACTTGTAAAGTTAGAGCTGTAGTAGGGAGCAGGAGCTGCATGAGCTGATGCCTCCTCTGTAGTGCCGGTTCCTACGCCCTGTAATGATTGCTGGGTATAGCACCTGCAAGCATGACCCATTCAAGTATATGAGGCTCTGCAAGCCCTTTGCAACCTTTTGCAATACGGCAAACAAGGGGTTAAACAGGCAGCATTGTGTTGCTTTCTTATCACCTGCTTTAACCCCCTGGACTCTGCAGAAGCATGCAGTTGCGGGGCACTTGCAGATTGGCCCCATTTACTTGAATGGGTCTTGACTGACAGGCAGTAGCACCCACTGACAGCAGGGGTGTAACTCCTGCTGCGGCATGTGTATACCTTTGGCTGTTGCCTCAGCAGATACAGGGGGTAGGGATTGGGGGGATGTACAACCATAAATCAACCACAGGGTTTTTACCCCCCCCCCCAATTTTACATGTGAATGAGCCCTAAGAGTACTGCTGCCAGATGCAACTAAGGGCTCATTCACAAGTGCAGCAGGCACTGCTGCTTCTCTGCAATCTGATCCAAGTGTGTATGACAGGTGGTGAGGAGGCAATATGTTGCCTCCTCACCACCTGATTTAAACCCATGAGTGTGGCACAGTAGTGCGGCAACAGGGGCGGACTGACCATTTGGAAACTCGGGCACTGCCCGAGGGCCCGGGGTCAGTAGGGGGCCCCATGAGATGCCCCTGGTACCTTTTTCATAGGCTTTTTTGAGTTTGGGCACAGACACAGAGGCCCCATGATCCCCTATTGCCCGGGGGCCCCATGAGTTGTCAGTCCACCCCTGTACGGCAATTAGAGGTTTAAATAAGGTGTGAGGAGATGACACTGGCTGACACCATGCCCTGTGATCTTTGACTTCTCCCATGTTGGTCAGGTAGATCTCCACCTCTTTAAGGTTGCTTACCCCTGCTCTAGAGCAACCTTTTTCAACCATTTTACCAAAGAAGAACCCCTAAAATAAGTTTCAGGTCTCAGGGAACCCTTACTTAAACCAATTAATGGGGGGTCAATGCGAAAAATGCCCCTACAATGGTAATCAGTAGGAAGAATGCAACCCTTACAGTCTTGCTGCTAGCATTGCCTTGTGCTGTTGGCTTTGCAGACACCACCGAAATGAGGAGGACAATCAACCACAGCTCATAGAACCCCTAGAAACCTCTCGAGGAACATAAAAGTTCCATTGAACCCTGGTTGAGAATGGCTGCTCTAGCGTTTTCATGGTGACCAGGACAGAACATGATGGGAAATACAAATTTTACAGTTGTTACCAAAGCGGGAAATGATGGATAATTTTTCAATAGAGACATTTGTTCTATTGACATGTCTAAGAAGGTATTTCCCTTTTAGTACTAAATACTTTAAATCTGAAGTTTAATCTGCTTATGTCTTGCATTAACTAGTTCCTCCTTACTCTTCTCATCATTATTACCTTATTTTAGACCAAGTGATGTCATCACTGGATCCCTGTGCTTCTCTGTGCAATGAAGGCAGATGATGGCTAGTAGGAAGGTCTGGCAGGGTGTTGTACATTACTGCTTAAAAACATCACAGCCTCTTTCCTCAGTACTCCTCTTAAGAATTCTCAGTCCTGATGCAAGCAGTGGGTTGGCTCTCAGGAGGAGTTATGAAAATATCAAAATGCCTTGATGGGTGGATGGTAGTCTGAAAGAATGACTGTGTAAGCAGCCTGCAAATGGCTTAAAAAGGTATTGTCTGGCTCAAGCTGGAGGAAGGAAAGAGTTAAACCATCTGTTCTTGGTTCCTGGGCTTTTAGGTCCCATCCAGCCCATCTGTGATATAGAAAAGGGGAAGACTTGGTCCTGAGGGCCTTTTTCCGGCCTGAATTCAAGTTGGAGGAGAGACTGCTGCACACTGCAGTCCACTACAACCCGAGGATTCTGCAGAACCACCAGCAATGGAATTCACTAGTATGGACTTTTGCTTCACAGAGGTATGCCTGGGCAGCCACTTTCTGGTAGTTAGCAAAGGGAAATGGAGAATGTTCATATTGAACTGTATTGCCAAGTTTTTACAGCAAAAGTTATATTTACTGTTTTGAGCTTGTTCTGTAGTTAATCAAAGGGGTGCATGATGGTTTTGGCATATCAGAAGGAACCATGGTCTATTAAGCACAATGGAGCATGAAGTCACACTACATAAACCAGGGTTTACCTAGCAAGTAATGATGTTGCTAAGAGTAACCAAGTTCAAGACACAAAGCAACCATTCGCTAGGCGAGGTACCTGGGAGGTGGCAGGTCCTCTGGTAGAAAGGGGGGTCATTGCTTTGCCTCCCCCCCCCCCCAAGTTGCCTGTCTCCCATAGCAAGCAGGAGCAGGCCAGCATTACAGAGATCCATGATCTGTCACAAGATATGGGATGTGAAGGAGTTAACATTGAGCATGCATGAGGTCCATGTTATTTGCTCGGTGGGATCCCATTCTGTTACTGGGAGTGAGTTAACAGGTACACTGGACTTGTGGAATGTTGACAGGCTCAACGCATCCCTCTTAATGCAACATCTACTAGGGTTACAGTGTGTAGTGGCATGGGACACAACGCTTCAGAAGAGCTCTGTGACTGCTGCTGCATACAATGAAGGCTCATCTCCAAGTCAAGGAACTGCCTTAATGTTAGACTTCTTACATGACTGAAGACTCTGCCTGGTCCCAGGCATTGGCGAGCACACTCTAAACATAGTGGTACCGCACATTCACAGGCAAAATTAGGCACCACCCATAGGTGTGTCTAAGCAAACTGTATTTCCATGAAGAGCACCATAAATCAGGAATGCTCAACCATGAACTGTGACCTCAAACCTAATATGATTATTAATAAAAAATGTAAAAAAAACAACAGACCCAGGGAAGTGCATCCCCTAGTGCAGGGGTAGGCAACCTGCGGCTCTCTAGCTGTTGTGGAACTACATTTCCCATGAGGCATTGCAAAGATTACAAAACTGACAGTTACAGCTATGACTTGCAGAGGCATGATGGAACGTGTAGTCCTGCGGCTCTCAGGTTGCCTACCCCTGCCCTAGTGCAATAAAGGAAAGATAAAATGACACATAATACACTCACATGCTCCAGGAATGACACCAAGCTCATCACACAGCTATGAGAATCTACCTAAAGAACATCTGTATAGATGCCACTAGATGTAATCCACTCAGCCACCGGCATCCCTCTCCATGCTTATTAAAATGTTTATTGCACTACTAGGATATGCGTTTCCTTGGTCTGTTGTTTTTTGCTTAGATTGTCCACAGTTCTTGTTTTGGCTATTCAAGGGTTGGCTGCAAGGACCCTGATATGGTAAAGGTTGCAACACTGGTTCAGAGTTTTTTTTTGGCTGGTCACTCCTGACCACAAGAGTGGGATTGAAGATGGTCTGGTTAATAAAATATGTGATTTTTGTGATTACGATTAAACAATGAGTAAACATCCAATAGGGATTGGTCCCATGGAAAATGATGATTCTGACTGTTGTTTAAAATCTTCATTATTCAAAATACATAATTCAAAATTCTGAACCATACCATTTCATTTCATTGTTACCCATGACCGGTTACCAAATAACTTAAGTGGCCCTCACTGTTTAAAAGGTTGAGCACCCCTGGCCTGAATAATACCCACATGTAATGCTGAGTCTCCATTATTGAAAGAATCCAATGAATGAAAGGAGTGGGCCAGGGACAGTCTGGCTGGGGAGGAAAAAGGTGTTTCAAGAAAGAGATCATAGTAAACTAAAATCAAATGTGGAGAATTGTTTACCTACTTTTACTTCATTTGTAGAGCTCCAGCAAATACTGCAGTATTTTTTACAGGTCACAGAACTATCTACATCAGTCTTTGCCCCAAAGCATCTACCGGTCTCATGCTCTATTGCAGTCATACAGATATACTGGGAGCAATTTAAATAGATTCTTGTTAACAAGGCAGAATATTTGTGGACTGTCAGAAGAAAGTAGAGTACTTAGAGGAAATCAAAAGAAGTGGTAGCAGATATTCTTATATTACTAAGGCTAAGTTCACATCTATGTGCGTCGGGAACGCGTACAAAATTGCATGCTTTCCCGACATGCACAGATACTCACTGCCATTTAGCAGATGCACTGTGGTAACCTTAATAATTAATGGAGCCCCACAGATCTGCAGAACGCATGCATTTTTTTGTGACTTCTCTGCTGCCTTTTATACAGTTGAGCATCCCCTACTCCTCCAAAAATTCCATTCCTTTGGCCTTTGTGACTGTAATCTTAGATGGTACTCGTCTCACCTATCCCACCGCACCTTCAGTGTCACAATTCTACCTCCTCCTCTCCTCTTCCTTTTTCCATTGGGTCCCCCAAGGTTCTGTTATTGCAACTCTACTATTCTTGATCTACATCTCCTCATCAGATCAGCTGATGGCTTTCAATACCATTTCTTTACTGACAATACCCAAATCTATCTCTCCCTTCCCCTGACTTCTCTGTCAAGATCGATGGCACAACTATCAAACTGTCTCCGCATGTCAAAGTGCTAGGTGTAATCTTGGACTCTGAGCTCTTCTTTGCCCCCACATCCAATCACTGTCCAAAGCCTGCTGCCTGACCTCAGCAACATCCCCAAAATACTCCCCTTCTTAACCAATGACACCCCAAAGCTTCTAATTCACTCCCTGGTCATCTCTCGTCTCGACTACTGCAACTCCCTGCTCATTGGCTTACCTTTACATAGGCTATACCTCTTCGGTTCATCATGAATGCTGCTGCCAGACTCATCCACCTGACCAACTGTTCAGTGTCTGCTACCCCTCTCTGCCAATGCCTCCACTGGCTTCTTCTCACCCAAAGAATAAAATTAAAAATACTAACATTTTACAAAGCCACCCACAATGCACCCCCCAGCTACCACTAACCTGGTCTCAAAATACCAACCAGATAGTTCTCTTCATTCCTCCCAAGTCCTACTGCTCTCTAGCTCCCTTGTCTCCTCTTCCCATGCTCGCCTCCAGGACTTCTCCCGAGCCTCTTCTATCCTCAGAAACTCCCTACCACAATCTGTCTATCTCCTGCCCTGTTCACTTTTAGGCGATCCCTGAAAAGTCTATCCTGCCTCCACCTAACAACTGTACTTTTATTTTCTCCATTAGCTCATCCCCTACAGTTACTACCTTTTGTATTACCTGACCCTTTTAGATTGTAAGGTCTATCGAGCAAGGCCCTCTGATTCCTCTTGTATTAGATTGTATTGTAACTAACCATCTGCCCTGATGTTATAAAGCCCTGAGCAAACTGTTGGCACTATATAAATTCTGAATAATAATGGAAAGCAATATAGCGGTAACATGCACACTTTGTAAATCTCACGTATCAAGATGCGTAACAACTCTTGGATTTGGGAACACACATCTTTGTCCAGGTGCAGAGGATCTGATACCATGTAACCATTTGTGTAAGCAGTCTACATGATTTTTTTTTCATCCAAGAATTGCTGTAGTGCCCTAGTCAACCCCATTCCCTTTTGTTGGTAATCTGATGATTTGGTAACCCCAATATGTGATGCAGGAAATATATTCCTAAACGCTTTGCAGTCTTCTTGCTAGTTCTCACATGCAGGCAGCCTGGACTAAAATAGACGTCAGTGTCAAGAAGATACAGCAAACAAGGAGATAAGAAATGACACAGAACACACTTTGGGAAATATCATCCCAGTAAAGTGATATCTGGATTCTGCCGGAACTGGACTACAGAGAACTCAGATTAAGGTAAACTGAATATTATTATTATTATGATACAGG